AAAATAAAATTACTTTCCCTTTTCTCCAGGGGAAAATTCTGACAGGAACTTACCAGCAAAAAACCTCCCCTTTGGATCCACTTTCCCATCATTGAACCTGTTGTTGGGTTTGTCCTGCTCGAGCTCGAGGATGGTGGTGACCGCCTGTGTGTCCCAGTCCAGAAAGGCAAACCTGGTCCCCAGGGCGATGATGTAGCCCCCACACTGCCGCAGTGCTACCGAGCCAACACGGGCGTCTGCGGGTGAGAGGGAAGACGATGGGTAGCTCTGGGGCCATCAGTCAGCCCTCACTGAGGGCATCTGGGCTTGGCTGTTACATCCCTGACCCAGGAAAGACCGAGCTGATGCTAAGATCCTTCTCACTTGGAATTGTTAGCACATCTCACTGGCTCTGTGTTCCACAGAGTTTTCCACCTTCTGGGCAGACACAGTCATTAGGACTATACCTTTTCCTCTGCAGGCCCCAAATGAAACATGCATTCCTGTTTAGGCTTATCAAGAGCAACATGGTCATGGCCCTCCACACCTGAGCACAGTCGCTTCTGCTCGGCTGGCTTGGGCCACTCTGTGCTCAGCAACACCCCACGAGAGGACAGGGCACGTGGCCCCATGGACAGTAAGAGAGACCACCATGCTGCAGGGCTCCTACCAGGAGGGATAGATGGGGCAGACAAAGAAGACCCCCAGGATGAAGCAGTGAGTACAGACTCTTACCCACAGATACACTCTGCACCTCATTGGTGACTGGGCTCCAGCGGCAAACTTTCTGTGCGTTAATGTCCACATAGACAAGTGCGTTCTCCCTTTCTTCCCAAACCGGGCACTCTCCCATCCGGTTCTTCTCCTTCACAACAGATTCGATTTTGATAGAGGAGGCCATGGTCTGAGGAGAAGAGAGTTAATAATGGATTTAAGGAAAAGCTCCTCTGGACTTTTTTGTGCCTATGATGCTTAAAAGCAGAATTTGTAGATGGCAAAGCACATGACAGCAATTTAGGAGATTCCACGGTCTCATGGCTGGAACTGAGCTTGAGGCACCAGAGCTCCTCCCTAGCAAAATTCCTAAACCACAGCTCCTCTAGGCAAGGGAGTGCTGGGGACATGGCCCGGAGCTGAGACCAAGCTGTTGCATGGGGATCAGTGATCCCAAGGGTCCCCAGACCATGGGGAGACACCAGTGGTAGCAGCACCAGCAATCAGAAGCCTTCTGTGGAAAAACAAAGCTCTGCTCTACTAACAAAGATGCATGGACTTCCTCCATAGGAAGACATATACACACCCACAACAGCAACAGCAGTTTGCCACGAAACCCAATGCAGACCAAGTTCCTACACCGAGTCTCCATGAATATGCAAACACTGAGGAAGGCTCCTGCCTTTGAAAACCTATCACTTTGTTTTCCCTCCAAGTGTTTCATCTTCATCAGCCTCCCTCACCACCCCAGCCTCATCTCCAGCCACTGCCACAGACTCTGGATTTTGCCCTGTGGCAGGCTGTGGGATGTAATTACCCCAGTTGTTCCTTTGGGAACAAAGTCACCAGTGAAGCTGCCATCCCATGTGCCTGCTCCTGTCAGGAGGTATTCATGCCGTGGCTACCCTGTCCACCAATGCCCGTGGGAACACCAGTCAAAGAGCCACCACCCTGGCATGGGGTGCACAATCCCTCAGGTTTGTGTCCAGAGCCCACCAAATGTCCTTCAAAATAGGGAGCCAGGGCCTGCCCTGCCCTTGCTGCAGGGTGGGATGTAAGCAATAGTCTCCATCATTTAGCTCTTACAAAAGAAAGAGGCCCACTCAGTCACCCCAATGGAGCCGCCTCTGCTGCTGCACCCACTGACCTCAGCACATTTTTCCACAGATTAGGGAGATATTTCTTGGGAGGCAGCCAATCCCTGACATAACACTAGTCCTAGGGATTACTGTCTTCAAGAGGGCAGTGTTTCCCAGTAGGTGAGCTGGTGATAAGGTTTACAGATAATTAATTAGCACTAATGTGCTTCAAAATAAGTGGGAAGAGCCAGTCAATCACTGTAAGAGGAAACGCCAGGGCTGGGGATGCAGGATCTTTCCTGCAATAAGTCACACCACCAAGGTAAGGTCCAAACAACCCATCCAACAAATGCATCCTCCCTCCCAAGAAAACTGGTCGTAAGAGGCTGGGCAGCAAGCTGCTCCACGAAAACAAACATCGTGTTAATGAGGATACATACCAAGATGCCAGGTTTTAACCTCCTAAAACCTGTTAAGCTGCGCTGGAGCTGGAGGAGTGAGTTTCTCTTGGGTTAAAACTTTGTGTCATGTGGCTGCTGTATGTGGGGCCCAAGGCTTGGAGGTGCAATGCTGACTGTATTGTATCATGCTCTGGAAAACACAGAGCTGCTCTCACCCCTGTGGGAAAACAGGGTTCGGTGGCAGCATCCCAGTTACCACAGCAGCTGAAAACCTCCAGATCTGCAGCAGCCAGTTGTGTTTGTCTTGTCAGTTTTTTCATCGACGCAGCTTAGCCTTATTAAACCTTTCTTTTTCCCACCAGATCCTGTTTAATTTACTGCCTTTTTTCCAACTTCTGCAACACCAAAAGAGGTACCTGGCAGATAAACTGTGGTGAAATACTGATTCACAGATGCGTCCCACATGCCATGTGAGGAGTATACAGTCACACCTTTGCCAGCTGTTTCACAAGGCACAGGCAGGGGAGAACCCAACCTGCCTGCAGCAGCTGCCTGTTTACCCTTCTCATGACCCCCACGAGTGATGCTGAAGAGACCTGCCCTATGCCACAGAGCATCAGTGTTCGTCCACCTTCCTCAACTGCATGACTGCACATCCAGCCTCAGCATCTATCCCCTCCGCCACAGGAACCTGTGTCACGCCAGGCGTGGAGTTTTGTCATACTGGGGAATATTTTGTCTCAAATCATCATCATCACCCCCCGCCCCCATTTCTAAGAAGATGGCAATTAGAAGGGAAGATTTGTGCTTTGCTGGTTGAGGTTTCACTAATTTTTATAAGTAGCTGAAAATGAAGGCTTTTAATGGGAAGGGTCACCCAACCCTCAGAGGTAGCACTGCCCTCCAAAAGATCCCCACAAGCTGGCAGGAATAGAGTCATGGTCCCATCCCACTCATCTCCTGCCTCTGCCCGGTGGTTCTCCTCCTGCCGCACCCTCCCTGCCATCACCCTGTGGAGCTGCACAGCAGCAGCATTTCACCAAATACAGCATCTCAGAGGAAAAAATGAGGAAATGACCCCCAAAAGTCTCATTCAAAACATCCAGGCACCATCATTTCGCACGCATCCTGCCTCCTGGCACCTTTTCCTGTGGCACCTTGCACCCTGCTTGGCACAGCACTGATCCATCAGAGATGAGTGTGTGGGAAAAGACAACAGCAATTCCAAGCAAAAAGCACCACATCCTGCCATATCTCCTGAAACAAAATCCCTGCAGAAAAAATAATCACATTTGCCCTGCCTAGATCCTCTCTCCAACATTTTGTTGGCTTTCCAGGCTCCTGGACTCATGCCTAAACCCCTTACAGAGACTTCAGGGGTTGGTGGGTGTCACTGAAAGGTTTTCCAAGTTAAACTGTTTAAAGTTACCAGAATTTGGAGACCATAAGAAAAATTTCCTCTCAGGAATGAAAAACTAATGTAAAAACATCCTGACTGTTCAAAAAACTAAACCCTGTCTCTGGTAGCTGTTTGAAAATAGCCATTCTCAACCTCAGCCAACATCTGTTTTCAAATGATCTGGTCAAAAATTGGTCATTGCAGTATGCCTAAAAAACATACAGGTAAAATACTAATGAATGACTTGCCTTAAAGGGTTTCTTTGCTGTTTCCCTTTCTCTCTCCCTGCCATGCAAACACACATCATTTCATTTTTAATGTCAAGCTGAAGCTTCAAAAAAGCAAGCAGAGAGCTAAAGCTTACAATGTACAGTTAAACAAGCATCTGTAAACCCCAAAGAATTTAAAAAACCCTTTTCCCCTCAAACAGCTGAATTTTTTTACCAAGCTGGAGGACACCTATGCGAAACTCTGTAGCTCATCACATCAACGCACCTGCTGAGGAAAATATTGCAAGACCTGGGTTGGTGACTCTTTTCCAGCGCTGGTCCAATGAAACTGGCTGCTGTTTTCAGCGACGGTTAAAAATGTGCAACAGTTGATGTTATCTGCACAGAGCAGGTAACCTTTTACATTTTGTATTCAGTCAGCAGTCACATGAATGATGAGGCAGGGCTCAAAGCCTTTCTGAATGGTCTAGTTTGCAGTGCCAGCAGCAGGACATGTGATAGGAAAAAAAAGCCTTGCTCAGTATTTTTCTCATGTCAGGAGAGAAAGAGAGGAAAACTGAGGCATTGCACCATTCGGTCGCCCCAAGGGCTAGCCCAGTCTTCCCAAATTTCAGGTGATAAAATGGGAAGGTTAATGAAAGATGCAGAGGAGGATTTTGTACTACTCTGAGTGATAAGGAAGAAAATATTCTTGTGATTAAGTCTTACTAGCATCACATTAAGACTTGGCTCCTACTCCCAGCTGTGCCACAGCCTTCTTGTGCGTGAAATCCCCTGGTCTCCTCGCAGAGCTCCTCATCTCAAACATGCAAAGCCTGATCTGCCTTGGCAGAGAGCCTCAAGCTACTGCCTGCAGCATGCAGGAGGAAGGACTTTGACCAGGGAGCCCCTTACCTTCTTCCTTTGACGTTTGACATTTTTTTGTTTGTGGGAGGCAAAGGTGGAAGATGCCAAGTGCCTTCTCCCACACAGCCCTGCTCCGTAGGGGTAGGTGATGGCAGGGCCAGCGAGGTGGGGACAAGGGCAGACTTGCCATGGGGACAGAGTCCAAGCCAGGCACTGAGCCAGAGCCACCACCAGCATTTTGGTGACAGGGCCGCACTTAGCGAGGGCAGAGGCACTCAGGAGGAATCAGCACCAATCCAGCATGCAGGAGCAATGCATTTCTGTACTCATGAGCCTTTCAATTCAATGTTCAAACATTTCACAGTATGAACATTTTTCCCTGATAAGCAAATAGCTGAGATAGGATAATACTAGGTCTATCATAGTCACCATCGATCCATGTTCAGAGATTAAAAAAATACAGCCCTAAGAGACAAATTCAAAGATTTCTAGGGAAAAAGCCAATAATATTCCCAAGTTGAACTCCCGCCAAATCTCTGTATTACAAGCAAAGTGATTCTTGGTGCTTTGAGGACTCTTCTCAGCCACTGCTGGAACTCCTAAACCCTAAACCATAACCTCCAGTGTCAGACCCAGACGCCTCTTGAACACCTCCAGGGATGGTGACTGCACCACCTCCCTGGGAATCTGTTCCAGTGCCTGAACACCCGAACAAGGAAAACATTTTAAAATGCTCTGGGGATGCCCTCACCACATTTTCCCACCATCTCTTATTCCTACCCTGCTGATTTCTAGGTGATTAACACAAACAGCACGTCTCCCACTCTGCCATTTCAACATCCCCCATGTCTGCCTTTCCAAAGTCAGTCACTTCAGGGGGAGACACATCTCAAAGGCTTTGTGGACATTGTTGATGAGTGGTGCAACCCTGCAGTAGCAGGTGCATGAGTTTGCTAGCCAGACTGCTATTCTTTCAATTGTTTTCACGATATAAAGAGCATTCCCTGCCATGCACTTTGTTTCTAATGTTGCTGGGTTGCAAAGCAGAAGTTTCCAGTGAAGTTGGCCAAAGGCAGCCACACACCCCAGTACCTCTGGCTGACACCCCACTGTGTTGTCTGCTTCGGGGATGGCTTCCTCTCTTCTTTCCCACTGCTTTGGTCCACTCTGATGCAACTCTTACCGCTTCTTTTTATAGCCCCTAGTTTTTATCAACATAGAATAGACAGGAG